TAAAGTTATCACCGACATCACTTGATCATCGTCCGCTTTTACCTCACCATCCTTATTGAGATATCCCTAACAGCATCACCTGTAGTTGCTTCACCCTATTATCACCCCTCCTAATAGGAAATCTCTCGTTTTATAGTGTCATATTGTCTAATAACCCTCCGACAGTTATAAACGACTCCCTCCTCTTCTCCAAGTTATCATTATCTCCCCGTACACCGTTGGGGTTAAATTGGCCTTTTATCCACATAATTCTATTAAGCTCTCCCAACAACGGTTACATTTGGTGCCGATTGTGTGGAATCAAACATTTATTCCCCCAACAACTTATATAAAAATCTCTAATACTCTTTCCCCTTCCGTAAAATCGAATTTTCATCTCTCTCAAAAGTTGATAATAAAGTCCCCCCATACAATAATCCTCAGTAAAACATAACAAACTGAATCCGACTTTTAGAAAAGTAAATAGGAAACTTACCTTGACCCAGAAGAAAATAATGGCTCAACAAAATCCCGCCAACCCCCAACAGCAGCCAAACCCTGCCCAAGCACCCAATAACCCCATCAATAACCTGGCCACTCAGATCGGTTTGCTTATTCAACAAATGCAAGCCGCGCCAGCAGCTCAAATTAACGTTCCCCACCTGGAGTTAAATCTTGTTTCCTACCCCGATTTTGCAGGGGGGGATCAGGATCCTATGACCTGGTTGGATGAAATAGAAAAAGCATTCGCCGCCAATTTGGTGAATAATGATCATCGTATCTCTGTGATTGTCCCACACCTCAAAGGATCTGCCGCTACATGGTGGTCAACCAACCAATGACAGGCTAATCCCATCAACGTTTGAAATGACCCAGCCCAGCAGAATAGGAGTTTCCGGCCTAATTTCATCACCCAATTTCGTACCCCTACTCTTGAGGGCAAGTGGTTCGGTCAGTTAGCCACCAGGAAGCAACAAATTAATGAAGACGTTGATACTTACCATACCGCGATACAGGAGCTCCTTCGTCGAGTAGAGTCAGGTGGTCACCAATACCCCGACACCGCAAAGGCCCAAATTTTTCTCAATGGGTTGAGACCCGAGTACGTTCTCGCAATCGCCCCTTCCACTCCTAATACGTTACAAGCCGCCTATGAACGAGCAAAGGCTTATGAAAGTGCTTGTAAGCAAAGTTTACCTTACCCAATTACTCCTATGAGCGCCCTGTACTCTTCGCCGCCCATCTCAGCTGTAGCTAGTGAGTTCCAACCTCCCGTCTCTACCTCCGAATTGGCTATTGAAAAATTAACAGAAGCTGTTAATAAAATGTTGATACAGCTTCAAGAAAGGTGACCACCCCCTCCCGGAAACCTAAATAGACTCGTATGTTATAAATGTGATCAGGTGGGTCACATTAGTAGAACGTGTCGGTCAACCAACCCCCAAACTAATTTCCCTCCTAACCCGGTTCTCTTAAGTCAACCTGTAAATTCTCCTAATAATTCTCCTCCAATTATTCCTGGTAATCCCATCCTGGCCAATACCCCTGAACCTCGTCAGCAGGAAACCCTTCAAGCTCTTTTGGCGTTGGCAGCTAGTTTAAACCCTCCTAACAATTCCAATAATCAACATACCTACGTTAGTATCCCCGTAGAAGACGTACCTCTATTCGCTGCTAGTAAACGTAACCCCCACAGTCCAATAACGATGCATCCCCTAGTAAGCGTAGGAAGGATGTTCTGGTAAATTTAGAATCGGAAGAAGAAACATTAGGACAACTATTAGAAAAAAAACTTAATCAGGGGAAAGAAGATGAAAAACCCCGGAGGTAGAAGTTAAACCCCCTAAGGTCGCCCCATCAAAAGTCGCCGTAACTAAACCTAGGTGCATCATCCGTAAGAAGGGTCAAGAAGATGAACTTCCTCAAATCGCATCCTTGGTTACCCTGTATTCAATTGTATCAGATATACGGGACAAGCCCACTAACATTATTTACGGACAACTCTTCTGTGTTGCCCCGGCTTTGCAGAGTGAATTGGTTAGGAGTCACCAGAAAAAGAAAGCTCCTAGTAAAAGGAAAGTAAAGGTGAATATTAGCATAAGCACGAAAGAAAGGTCCACAGCCCTTTATTGTAATGCGAAGATATTGGGGGAAACCATCCCGTTGATAGTCGACAGTGGGTCTTCTGGGAGCGTTGTCTCGTCACATTTGCTAAGGGATTTAGGAATTAAAGTTGAACGCCCTTCCACTATAAATATGATTAATGTCCACGGTGAGAGTAAGAGAGCCTTAGGGGAAATATCCAATTTCCCGTTTAATATCGGAGGAATAGAAATTCCTATCGACATGGTCGTAACCGATGCAGGGTCATATCAAGCCATTGTGGGCAATGACTGGCTTTCTAAAGCCCAAGCAAAAATAGACTGGGTCAGCTCTGAGATAACACTTATCTGGAAGGGTAAAGAAATCACTCTCCCTGTTGAATGTAAGAAACTCACCCCCGAACCCCTTGGTAAAAATTGTCCCACCATGATCCGAAATCTGGAGGAAGAATCAGAAGAAGAGGTAGACGATGGGACAGCGGATAGTGACGAGGAATACGAAGTAGAAGAGTTAGAGGATAGGATTTATGGATTTTCCGAAATAGACGATGTTGAAACCCTGGGTCGCTTACCTTTGCCCAGCCCTTCAGATATTTCACTTTTAGACTCCCCCATCAATAGACATTTTACCCCTCTACATGCATCCCTCCTTCCTTTCCCTCCTAATAATAAAGACATTAATAATACCCCTTTACAAGCACGCCGGCATCACATACAAGCCGTCCCGTTTCCCACCAATTAAATACTTATGACCCCTTAGCTTCTACTTCTACCCTTTATCCTTTGGTGGGAGCTTATCTACCTCTTACCCAGCTAGAGGGGCATCGACGAAAAGAAATTTCTGTGTCCCTGCCTAATGTCGATAACTTACTTCCATTGGTCTACTATGACACAGATTCCGATAGCTCTAGCGAAGATGGATGGTATTTGTCACAGGATTTTCAAATGTTAAAGGTTGAGGAAGAGGGATCGGATTCTGATGCGGATGATGAACTAGACGAAGCTAAATGGCAGTCGAAAATAAGAAAGGATAAAAATAAGCCCCCATACCTAAAATAATTTTGTCGGCATGTATAATAGTAACTATATACATGCTGATACTAATAGTACAAGTGATAATAAAAGTGTTATTGATTTGCATTAAATGATAATAGTAGTAATGACAATGATATTGATAATGACGACAATAGTAGTAATAATAATGATAATGATGGTAATCAAAATAATAATAATAATAATGATATTAATAGTGATAATGATGATAAAGGCAGTATTGGCACTAGACATATATTAAATTATTTTTTATACTATTGGACTGGACTGGATATTGGACATAATACCTGGACATATGTCCAGTCTAATATGTCCAATAAATTTAAAAAATATAAAAAAATATTTTTAATTAAAATATAATCTAATAAAAGTTTTTCTTAATTAGTAATTCACTAGTTAACCAGAGAAGATCTGCAAATTTTTATAAATAAATTTTACTATTGAGCTAAATGTAGAGTGCACTAATCTAAAACTTTTTTTTCTTACTAAGTAAATCACTTTTGGACTCATAATATAAGTTGTAGAGCTTATCAAGATGCATCTAATAGTAGTAAGAACATTAAAATTGGCTTGGTAGTTCTTAAGAAATCTTTGAAAACGTTTTGCTGACATATAAAATTCTTTAAAAAAAATTGATTTATTTTAATTGATAATCCGTGAGTTAACCAGAGAAAATAATCTGTAATTACTAAATAAATATGACGCAATTTTAATAATAAAAAATCTGATTTGTAAATGTGAAGATTATACGTATACGTAATTTTTTTTGAATATTAATAGTTTCGTCTAACTCAACTTTTGAAGTCAAGTCGAATACACTTGACTCTAGATATAATGAAACTCTATATTACGAACTTTGGATATAATGAACTCGAAATTTAAAATTTTATAATAGTTCGGTTTAGAAAGTGCAATGGGTCCTTAAGAAAGTATAATAATTTTCTATAACAAATGTTTTTTTTCCAAACCGTCAGTTTGTTATGAAAAGAGTTGACTGTATAGTTTTTTTTTTTTGTCTGTTTAGTTTATTTTGTAACATTATATAGCAACCCAACAAATA